TAAGTCAACACAGTTGGAGACTTCAGCAAACCTGTTATGGTCTCAACCAATAAGTGATTATTTCTAAATGAATACAACACTATGAATGTCAATTAAATGTTGCCATGTCAAATGGTCGCATCTTGGCTTTTTCTAGACACTAGCAATTAGTGTATACCTTAGACTTCAGAAATCTGTTTTATAAAATTTAGTACTGCTTAAGACATCTGAAGCTTTTACAACATATACTTGTTACAAAATTGATTTTACATTATTTAGAAGTTAAACACTCACGAGAAAGCCATTTTCACATTGTTGATCTCCAAAATTAACAAAAAAGTTTAAGTGCTATGACTGTATAAATAACGACTTAAAAAGTCAAAAATGGGTATCTTGTTTCCGATTGCTAAAATATGAATTTAAAATACAATTATAATAATTTGATTTTAATTATGAAATTTGACCATTTTTACATTCATATAAATTACATTACTAGAAATAAAGATATAAGCTTTGAAATTGTTGGATTATAGCTCAACTGAGCTACTAAATGATTTTGTGGGCTTTCTACATGATTTTATTACTAAGTTACTAATAGTGTACTTATAAGTAAAAAACAATGAGAGTAATATACATTTATCAGTAGTACTAGTAATAGTAGAGTTATAGATGAAACCCCACTTACATCTTAGATTACCCCAGTTTTTAGTGAGTTACTCAAAGTGTGAATCTCAAATATTATTTAACATAATTTGAAATATACATGAATCATATGTTTGAAAATTAACTTAAGTATTCCATCTAGTAAACTTTACTCTACTCTAATTTTATTTTATTTTTAACATCAATAATGTCCAGCAAATATGTATTGCTTTTTGCATGTTTCTAAAAATTATTTCATTTCCAACAATTAAAGAAGTATTCAACTAACTTTCACATGAAGTAGACCTATAGCCTAAAGTAGTGGATTTTTTCTAATGAATTTTATTAACTTTATATAAAATTTGTTAATAGAAAGTGTCATGAGGTAATATGTTTATTTTTATCAGTCTTGTAAAAGTTTGAAGGGAGAAACATGCAGAATGCTATAAATTATGTTATTTTCAAGTTGTTACAGGTTTTGTAATACTTTGCATATATGATACGTTTTCATGTACAACAGTTTACGATGAACAAAATACTTACTCCTAAGTTATAGTATTGAAGATAGGATTTCCTCTAGCTTTTCATCACAAAGTTTAAGACAACTGTATGTGTAAATTCTAATATTTGAATAACTTTAACTCAAAAATATATTAAAGTTGGTATCTTGTCATATTATGAAACATATTTACAGTAAGTCATCAAGAAAAAAATATTATTTTTATTGCTGCACAGCTGCAAGGAGTTTTGCCTGTAAACAAAACAACTTTTTCTTCTTTTTTTAGAATTTGTCTGCAAATCCCAAAGAACAACTTTTCACTAAGAACCTATCAACCCCTTAAGAATATAGTATCTATTTCTTGCCTTTCAAGCTTTTCCTTTAGTTTTTGTACAAATCTTGGTTGAAACCTTGCTATAGTACCATATCAAATAGTTTAATCAGTTTATTCCCATTTCATCTACTTTATTGTAATCATATACCAAATAAATGTTCCATATTTTTTCTGTAAACCTGGTATATCACTTTACTGTAAATGTAAAATCTTTAAACCACTATCATAATTTCTTCAGAACAAGCTAGTTTTTTTCTGTGATATATTTGTAATGTATATGTGCATGTACATAAGAAAATATCGATGTGTGAATGTTTTAAAAGTCTACTGCATCATATTGCAAACAGTATGAATACAAAAATGCTTTGTTTCTAAAACTGTATTAATTTGATTTTGTGTCTAAACCTTATTCTATATTTTACAACATGACAATTGTATTTTTTTTAGGTTTATTCCCTGGGAGTAGACAAAATAGAATTAGATGAATTTGGATGTTACCATTTCATCATGACTGATCATGAATTAGACTATCACTTATTAATAAATATATAGGTTAAGAGTTCCTTTATAAAGTTTCTTTAAATGTTCCTTCTGTTTTGAATTGTGAATGTACTTATAACATAACGTTTAGGGAAAACAAAAGACCTATTGGTCCATCTAGGATGTCCCATCCTCTAAAATAAACAAAAAACTATCAAAAAAAAATAGATAAATAAATAAAAAATAACCTCAAAGCCAGCCTTTATCATTCATATAGTTATCAAGCCTTCCCTTAAACTATTTTAAATTTACTGCCTCCACAATCTACAAAGGCAGTCCGTTCCAAAGTCCAACCACCCTGTAAGAAAAATAACAATGTCTTAGCTGAAGATGACTCCTCCCTTGCCAAAATTTATATTTGTATCTCCTAGACCTACCATTCTCACCATTAAATATGAAAAAGGATGATGCATCAATACTATCAATTCTCTTTACAATCTTAAACACCTCAATGAGATTCCCTCTAACTCTTCATTTTTCAAGAGAAAACAATTTGAGAGATTTCAGCCTCTTGTCGTATGACAATCCCTCCATCCCAGGCACCATTCTAGTAACCATCCTCTGAATCTAAGATTGAACACAATACTCCAAATGTGACCTAACCAGAAACATATACAATGAAATTATTACTTCTTTAGACTTGTATTCAACATTTCTGTAGATACAACCTAAAGTCCTATTTGCTCTATCACTAGCAACAGCACACTGCTTGGATGGCTTGAGAGACTGATCAACCACTACACCAAGATCCCTTTCCTTCTAGCACTGTTAAGGTTATTCCTATTCAAATTATACTTATAATTCAACATACATTATCTTGCATTTATTATATTCAAAACCGATCTGTCATTAATTTGCCCAACTCACTAAATGATCTAAATCCTTCTGTAAAGCAGCAGCATCCTCCTCCTCATAGCTAGCAACACCAATACCTTAATATCATCAGCAAATTTAAGTAATTTATTGACCATTCCTTCATTTATGTCATTGATTTAAATAAAAAACAAAAACAAAAAAAGGTTGTAAGACTGAGCCCTAAGGTACCCCAATTGTGACATTAATCCAGTTTGACTGAATTCCATTTATGAGAACCCTCTGCTTTCTTCCATCTAGCCACCCTTCTATCCAATATGCTAACTTGTCCTCCACATCTATAGAGATAATTTTCTTTACAAGTTTTTTTATAAGGTACCATTATAAAATGCTTTCTGAAAATCCAAATATACCAAATCTGTACCCTTACCCACATTTACATAAGTAATAAGTAACCTTTTCAAAGAATGGCAAAAGACTTGCAATGCAACATTTTCCTTTAGTGAAATGACAAGTGACTTTGCAAAGCATCTCTTATCAGACTTTTCAAAGCTTTTCCCATGACTGATGCAAAACTAATTGACCTATAATTACTGGGACAATTTTTATCACCTTCCTTGAAAAGAGGAGTAGCATTAGCCAACTTTCGATCCTCTGGCACCTGCCCTCTATTCACGGACTTATAAAAACATAGTAGTAAGTGGTTCACATATCAAATCCTTAGCCTCCTTCAAAGACAAATTGGAAACATTATTTAGCCCAGGATCCTTGTTGTTCTTGAAACATGAATTATTTTCTTAACAAGCTCATGTGTTAAATTATATCTGTTTGAATGCTACAGAAAGTTTCTTCAATGAAAAGACATATCACATAACTTGAGATAGTAAGCTTATACAATTTACAGTAACATGCCAGTTCATCTACTCCCATAGGCAATGGCTTAAATGGGAGTAGATGAAATTGGAATAAACCTTAAAAAAAATGAAATCATCAGGTTGTGAAATATAGAATAAGATTTAGAGATAAAAATCACTTTGCACAATTTTAAAAACAGAGCATTTTTGTATTTATACTGTTTACAATACCACGCAATAGACTTCTAAAACATTCACACATCAATATTTTTTATGTACATGCACATATACACTACAAATATATCACATAAAAAAAGCTAGCTTGTCCTGAAGAAATTATAATACTGCTTTACGGATTTTTCATTTACAATAATAGAAAAAATATAAAACGTATATTTTGGTATATGACTACATTAGAGTATACTAAGTGCGAGTAGACAAAATGGGAAGAAACCCAATTTACAGATAGATGAAATGGGTAAAAAAAAGAAGAAATATTATAAGTTTAACATTGTAACAAATCCACAATGTTTGAAAAGGGTTTTGTCACCATCAAATATTTTAACTTATTAAGGAAATTGATAGGTTCATTGCATCATGTTTAATGGTGAGATTGTCAGGAGAAAGTGACATAAGTATAAATCTTGGCAAGGTAGAATAGAGCCATCTTCAACTTATACAGGTTTACTTTTCTACCAAGGCGAAGGGTCTTTAGAATGGGTTGTATTCAGATGTGGTGTGTGCAGATCAATAAATATTTAAATGATAAAGGCTGAATTTGAGCATTTTTGTAAGTGAATTGGGGGGCAGCCTCAGCCAACAAGCACTTCTTATTCATAAAATGTTATGTTATTTAAAATGACTTATGGATTTGGTCTCTTTAATAGGTACAGAGAAGTGTGGATCACCTGAAAAATAATTTCAACGTATTAAACTTTCATTTTAAAGTAACTAAATTCTGTTTCAAGTTACTCTTTAATAACATTTTATGGATAAATAAGTAATGCTTTGCACCAATATAAAACTTTTGAATGCAGTAACTTACCACCAACCCTCATAAACTTAATTTATCATTTATGATGAAATCTTTACCTTCGTAGGCCTAGTTGCTAGTTCAGTAGTTGTAACTTAAAGGGCCAAAAATATTTAAAAATGTTTTAGACACATTCAAAAGAGATCGAAGGTTTTATTACTATGAATGAGTATGATCCAAGATCTCTTAGATTCAATGTTCTCTGCAAAATTACTGATAATAGCATTCAAGTTGAGAATAATTACTTTAGTTTAGGCTGAGACTGGCTAAACTAGATTGCTAATTTGAACAACAAATTCCCATTACCATTCGTCTCTTACTTTCTTTGTCTCAGGGCAAGCGCAACAAGGTTTCATTTTCTGTTTCTTTTCATCAACTTTTTTTTCTTCTGGCATTTTTCTTTCAATTTAAATGGAAATTCGAATAATTTGGCAGTACAGGTGATGGCATTAAGTAAATTTTATGTTATTGCGCAACAGTTGCGAAACATACACCAAAGTCTAGCACCAAGCAGATGGTTTACTACAGTAACTTGTAAGCAAATAAAATAGTTTATTCTTCACTGCATATGTGTACACATAAATAAATCAACAGTTGGTATGCAAAATGTACAGGTTTATTAATTGTACAAACCATCCATATATATTATACCATTTTTCAGCTTATATTTCATATAGAGAACTGTACGTTATCTATAGCGTCACTACTTTTGAGGTAAAGATTCCAAAACGAAACGCCTGAGATTCTGCTCTTTAGCGTCCTTTTACTTGGATATAAGATGGGGATTTTAATACTAGTAATCAACGACTTTGTAACAGGGGCAGATTGGGGTAGGGGAGTCAAGGTTCAATTAAAATTAAGTAATGATTATATGTGGATTTTAAAAACCAACGCTATATAGTAAAGTAATGTACAATTTTATTTCAAATTTACGCTAATAGTTCAGAGGGCCGACCCTTGGTTAAAACTGTCGGACCAGTTCAGTTCGCATCACAGTTTTATTGGGATCTAGATCCTTTTCGGGATCTGGGAGGGTTAAGTATGATGCTCCACCTCTTCCTCACTCCTGTACTGTTATTTAGTCGTTTCACAATCTTGCGGGTCATCCTTGCTAATTTTCTTTGTGTCGTTTCAATTTTAGTATACGTACGGCCGAAGTAGTATATACACAGTTTAAATGGTGAATATCACACGAAAGAAGATGTTGTTCTCTGATATGATTTCAATATCCTTATCATGGCTATGTCCTATCATGTTCAACGTTTATCATTTGCACTGGTTTATATTTTGCTTTATTTGGTATGCTACATCATCTGCGAATTGTGAGGTATAACAAAACTGGATCAGTTAATGGCATGTGGCTTATATACATTATAAAGAGTCTGGGGCTAACTAACTCTTCTTGAGGAACACCCGCGTCAGGAGTAAAATGCTGTGAGTAGGTGCCCTCTACATTAACTCGACATTATCTATTATCTAGGAAGTTGGATAAACCAGCAAATAATACCTCGCGGCAGTTCCATCTGTAGCATCTGGAACCTTAGACCTGAGTGCCAGATTTTATCGAAAGCCTTCTCTAGATCGAGTAGGCAGACGACTGTACACTCTTTTTTAAAAACTGTCTGTTACAGTTTCAATCAATCTAACTAAGTGATCGATTGTTTCTCGAAATTTTCTGAAACCATTACGTACCTCTGGTAATTTTCAATTTCTCTTTAGAAATGTGTTTAATAATCTATTACTTATTATTCGTTCTACAATTTTTTCTCAACAGCTGATCAAGCTGATTGGTATGTAGCTCTGTGCTTTATTTGCTGTTTTCCCTTTCTTTAAAAACATGAGACTATTCACTTGCTTCCAAGAGACGGGGATGTACCCTATCACTGAGAGGTTAAACAGAGCCTTTAGATGTTCCTGTAATAGCTGAGTGCTTTTTTGAGTAGAATGGCTTGTATGCTATTGTTACGTCTCTGGTCGTTGGTTAATTTTCCGTAAAAATCCTTTTTGAAGAAACTTTAGCGATATAAGTCCTTTCTTAAATAAAACTGGTTTATTCTTTCTGAATACAACTTTGCAATACACTTAATTTTCACAGTCACGCTATAACAAACGCTATAATTCACAACTAACGCCTCACGTGCTCGACTCAACAATACGTCTCTCTCTGTCCGGAGTTCAATTACATATTGTTGCCGTCAGTTCTTGGCGGCTTATATACAAGAAGATCGCATATCTAGTAACCTCTCGAGGTTTCATGAACGTTCTAGAAGCGCATGACTTGTTACACTGTCGTAACACTGCCCCTTCCTTAGTATTGTTCGTCCCGAACAATAGCCACTTACATTAAACCAATAAACAATTAACAATAACTTAATTAAATGTACGGAATTTACAAACACAAAATCCAAATTCAACAAAGTCTCTTTATTTTACCGGACGTATCTCCTTCCATACTGGTCTCCATCTCGTTGACTTCTGCTTCAAGTGAGGTTCATCTGCTTCATCAGGAAACGTCCTATCATTGGTAACAATCACATCAGTGGTAGTAACTTCATCAAGGACTTCACTGTTTCCCTTCTCAAAACCGGGTAGAGTTTCTTCTAAGACAGTGGCTTTTTTTGGGTGACACGTCTTCAGCAGCGTCATTTGTTTCGTTGTTCACTTTGTTCCAACTGAAATGTCCTGGACCATGATTACGCCAAAGCCTGTTGGCATGCACCACCTTTGACTTACCTCGCCGACCACATTTTATCCAGAAAGTCACGTCTGAGAGACGATCCACTATGTCATATGGGCCTTCCCATGGAGAAGACAACTTAGGAGACTTTCCTTTGGTCTTCCTGGGATTATACAACCACACCTGTTTCCTGGTACAAAACTAGCTTCAGTAGATCTCTTATCGTAAGATAACTTCATCGAATCCGCAGACGTTTTCAAGTTTGAACGCACTTGATAGTGAATATCATCCATCCTTTCCCATAACACTTTCATAAACTCTGACACATTCTCAGGCAATTCTTCATAAGGTGCGCATCCTGTTAACAGACCCACTGGCAACCGAAGTTCCCGACCAAACATCAGCTTTGCTAGAGTGTATCCAGTGGTTTCATGCTCTGCTGTTCTATAGGCCATCAACAGTGGAGGGAGTAAGACATCCCAGTCATCTTGGCGGCTATTACAAAACTTTGCCAATTCCTGTCCCAGTGTTCAGTTGTACTTTTCTACCATCCCATCGGACTGTGGGTGAAATGGCGTTGTCCTGGTCTTTCGGATGCCAAACAACTTGCAGCATTCTTGGAACACAGCTGATTCGAAGTTACGGCCTTGATCTGAATGCAGTTCATATGGCATCTTAAATCTGAAGAAGAAATCACTAATAGCCGAAGTTACGGTTGTAGCTATCTGATT